ACTCAGACAGAAAAAGAAATGGTGCAAAAATGCACAGTAAGTAAAAAAAATGCACTGCTTTAAACGCTTTGGTTACCAAAAACATTAATACAATGACTAAGAAATGGTAGGGAGGTGTAACATGTAGCAGGTCTGTGTTTTGGCTCAGGCAGAAAAAGGCAAAAGCTCAGATACAGTGAAAGATCCTACCCCCTCATTTTTGATCCCCCAGGGGGGAATATCTATTTTCCAGCAGCATTACAAAACACCTCCTGTGACTTGAATGAGCTTCATGGGGCAGGCAAGCTGCCATGTAGTAAAATTATGGGTATATTTTTTGCTACCAATCAGGCATTTAGCCAATAACATTACAAGTTTGAACACAATGACAAATTTACAGACATGAAAGGCAAGTCCTCAGCTATTGGCCAATGGGAGTAGAGCACGACGGCTTCTTGACGAAGTCGCTCCATCCATTCTTTGTAAGTGGCAGACAATTTTCTTGCAAATATTACACAAATGAGACTACCTACAGTAATAATTATTAGTTTATATCTGGAATATAATTTAGAAATCATTAGACATTAGTTTTGAAAGATAAATCAATGTCGGCCCTTGTTTTGGTTAAGTGCATATATAGATGTATGTGTGTCTGGACCATTGTTGCTGAGGTACACCACATGGACAAAAGTATTGAGACAATCCTTGAATTCAGGTGTTTTATTCAGACCTTGTGAAAGAATGGGTCATTCTGAAGAGCAAATTCAAGCATGGTACTGTCATAGGATGCCACCTTTACAATAAGCCAGCACATGAAATTTCTTCCCTGCTAGATATTTTGCAATTAAGTGTAAATCATATTATTGCAAATTGGAAGCGTTTGGAAACTTCAGGAACTGTTGTTAAATTGATGTTTTGGATATTTTGATTTAATCCTTACGATTTGTGTTTTTGTTTTAAGAGATGCTTGAGTTATCTAAATGTGTGCTTTAATTTATTTAATGTATTTACATGTTTTTGTTCTACATTACCCATGTAATTACCCTGTGTGGATTTACTGATGTAACGGGATGGGGGAGTAGATGAAAAGAGAAGTAAGAAAGATGGAGGTACTGAAATCCATTCGACATTTACTTTAGTGTAAGTTTATGTTTGAAACGAAGTAAAGAGATTTGAAAGGTCAGTTTCTGTTTTGGCTTTGTGACTCGAAGATAGTTTAACTATCAACAGGAACTCAGCCATGAAGTGGCAAACCATGTAAAGTTACATAATGGGGTCGCTGAGTGCTGAGCAGCATAGTATGTAAAAGTCGGCAACACTTTGTTGACTCAATAACTGCAAAGTTCCAAACTTGCTCTGGTGTTAACCCCAGTGCAAAAACTGAGTGCTGGCAGCTTCATGGAATGGGCTTCCATGGCAGAGTAGTTACATGCAAGCCTCACATTACCATATGCGATGCAAAGCGTAGGATGGGGGTGGGGGAGGGAGTAAAGCACATCACCACTGGGCTCTGGAGCAGTGGAAATGTGTTTGTTGAGTGACAAATCAGGCTGATGGATGAGTCTGGGTTTGGCAGATGCCAGGAGAACGTTACCTGCCTAACTGCATTGTGCAACTGTAAAGTTTGATGGAGGAGGGATAATGGCATGGGGTTGTTTTTCAGGAGTTGGACTAGGCACCTTAATTCCAGGGAAGGGAACTCCTAATGCTAACTTACAACTTTGTGGGAACAGTTTGGGGGAGGCTCTTTTCTGTTACAGCATTACTGTACCCCAGTGCACAAAGCAAGGTCCATAAAGATATGGTTGGGTTAGTTTGGTGTGGAAGAACTTGATT